ATACTTAGAGGTAAATACTAATTATCTTGAGTAATCCCTGCGGACTATATGCAGAGAGCCTCATCGCAGGCATTGAAACCTCAATCCCGCGGAGATCGTGGCTATTGCGGAAGAAGCGGAAGAGTACTACCAAGTCCGCAACAGATAGGGACAGGCAATATTGGAGGCAGCGTCATAGTAGTAACAGCAATTACCTAGGTGAAAACCTAGACTCCGAGCTGATGGGTATATTTAAGGGACAGGCCCATTTCATAGCAGGCCTAGTGTGTATTTGTTATTGCACATATATTTTCTTCTTCTTTTCGCTATACATTAAGACGTCAAGATGCCACTCGTTAAAATCGATGTGATCAAAGGAGAACGACTACCGAAAGAGCTAAAGGAACTCGCCGACGTGGTCCAAGAAGTGATGTTGAAACATTTCAATGCCCCCGAACGAGATCGCTATCAAGTAAGAAATGCCTATTTGCATGGGAGTGGCAATCTGAATTGATTCTAATAGACTTTGGTTCAAAGATCATCACCCAGCACGAGCCGTACGAGTTGATTTGCGAGGATACCAATCTAGGGCTCAACCGGAGTAACAAATTAGTTATACTACATATCTTCCAACAAGGTCGCAATTCCGAGCAGAAGAAAGCTCTATATAAGGCACTTCATGAGCAACTCTCTGAGGTGTGTGGGCTAAGTGGGGAAGATCTCATCATAAGCTGTGCCGAGAATACAAAGTCTGATTGGAGCTTTGGAATGGGAGAAGCGCAATTTCTAACCGGGACACTGTAATTAGCGGTGATACTCAAACATGCAACATTGAGCGGTGTTGCTTCTCGTCTTCCGGCACCGAAAGGCAATGGCGGAGGTCAAGGAAGTCATGATACGTATCTTAAATCTAAGTAAATGGGACTGATTGATCCCGAAAAGCTGACTACCTAAGGGAACATTTGAAGTAGATAATTGCCCTTATATGTCCTATCCCGGTAGCCATGTAACCCTTGATGATACCTAGATTCCCGATCTATTATCCTTCAATCTATGCATCAAAGCACATGATGAAATCACAAATAAGCCAAAATAAGAAAGCAAGTCGGTAATCATTCTGTGTGGCTCCCTGAAAAGCCCACCAATTAATTGGCTGTTGTCCATCTACTATACCGCATCATTTTTGAGACCTTTGCCCTCCAAGACCGGATCCATGGCTGTTTGCATGCCACTGCATTCGCGTCCATCAAAAACTTCAACGGTATCTTCAACAGTAGAACTTATATCACGGCCTTTTCTTTCTGGTCCGATGAGTGTGAGTATAATGATGTAGGAATAGACCTTGTAAGATTAGTCAAATTGCAGCAGTGGTCAAGCACGGGCAGGTACTCACAGCAGCCATAAATAAACACATCACTAATCCATAGTTATATCGATCCGTGTTACCATTGCTATCCAAAGGGAATCGTTCTCCGAGCGTAGCTTCAATTGTGGGCGATGCAGAAGATATCAAATTGCCGATTTGATAAGAGGCACCCACAATAAGAGTTCGGAAAGCAGGGGGTGCGAGTTCCATGAGGTAAATGCTGTAAAAGCATTAACTAGACAGTAGTGCGCATGATGATAATTAACCACTTACGGAGCAATGCCAAAGATTCCTAATACGCATCCCTGCTCAAAAAATGCAGCTGCTGAGACCGCCTTACTAGAAACAAAACTATACGGATAAAGCAATGCCCCGCCAAGGACAGCGATGATAATGATTGTTAGCCTCCGCCCTATTATTTGGGAAAAATACCCCGAGGCAGTTGCTCCCGCCATTGCCCCTAAATTAGCTATTACTTGTGTGACTGTAACGTCATTTGTAGAGAATGAGTACTGCTCCCGGAGCAATGTAGGGTACAGATCTTGCGACCCATGAGCCTTATGCTAGATTAGTACGGTAAACTTGCCTTGAGACAAGGATAAACATACCATGAAGTTCATGCCGGCCATCAGGGCCATCAGATAAAGAGCAGTGAGCCAATATCTGCGAAAGGCTTCCTTTGCTTGCGAGGCAAATGGGTTTTTAGCATCCGGTCCAGATTTTCTAACCGTTCTCCCTCTTAAGAATGAATCATTTTCGGGAAGGGCCAGGCGGAATATAATGATCAATACCGGAGGTGCCGCGCAGAACCAAAAATAGGCACGCCAACTATAACGCGTAGGGAGGAGTGCCCTGGCAAATACAGTTGCGAGAAGATAGCCAAAGGCGTATCCTTGCTGGAAGATTCCAGAAAGTAAGCCCCTGGCTTCAGCAGGAGTATCTTCTAATGCAGTTGCAGCTGCAAGACCGTACAATCCACCCATGCTAGGAATTGAGTCAGACGAATGCCATCTGATCATCTTGATTATGCTTACCATATTCCAAATAATGCCCGGACGGCAAGAAACTGCCGATATGTCTGCACAAAGCCAGTTCCCAATTCTAGGATAATGAAAAGGATATTACACGTAATGAACGGCCACTTTCGACCATACCTATCACCCAGGAGCCCAAAAATTATGGCTCCAACTGAACGAAACATTAGAACAAGGGTTAAGCCCCAGGTAATATCGGCATTTGATTTTCCAAACGCCGTGGCTAGTTCGGTAATTGTCAACGAAACTATGATATTGTCAGTTTAGGAATTGCATAGCAGGAGGCTAGATATACCGGAAAAGAAGTCACATGCATCCCATGACCAAGCCAGATAGCCGACCTGTTCTCTATTATTAGTGTAATCTGGCTGCAGAGAGGCGGGGATATTGGCTTTACAGTGAAGAACATCCATTGCTTGACAGTTAAACTGCGCAGAACCCTGAGCACGTTGGGAGGGCGTTCAAATGATGGCTTGAGCGAAGTGATGCGAGAGACAAGGTAGGCTCGAACATCTGATGTAGCCTTCATATTGTATACTATGGTATTCAACATGCGCCGTAAAATGATTATCATTTCGCTGGCACATAAGTAACGCCCGTCATCGACCTTTTAACCAAGCAAGCATTTGCTATATTCTCAATCTAACCCCCTTCAACAATATGTATACTTGCAATACAGAGGAAATTGTAGTAGCCACTCAAAGGCTTCTCCGCGGAGACACATGCTTTGACAAATAGTAGACCAACCAAATTTGGTCTTATCAGCAGTGAAGTATGAATATGTAAACTGAATAGTTCATTATGGACCGACGAAGGGACGAGGTCCTCCAGGATGTGTTTAGTCCATTCATTCAGCGCGCACCTGATAAGAAAGCACCAATAACAGAGCTTTTTAGATTATGGTTTAGAGATAAGATCTCATCGTAAATGGCCAATTTTAGTTTGTTAAAAGAAACCTTTTCTACAAACACAAAATATGGATCGGGCCCATCATACCCACTGATTTTTCCCGCAATATCCGCTATATACTTGCTGTTGGCAAAAATTATCAACTCCCCGCGGAGAAAAAAGGAGAAAGAAATCAACGATATTTTCTCTATCTTGCACTATTTTAGCTCCCGATAACCAAAAATACCTTATCAATGGGCTATGCTTTACATACCTCGCGATTGCATGCTTCCTTATCACGTTTCTGTGGGGCCTTAAGACGAAAACCGATAGATACATCAGTATAAACTGACTATATTATAGTAAGTATATATAATATCTATAGGTATATCTCTAGATGTTGTTGCTCGAAGCAAGAAATCAAAAAAAAGTATAATATTCCTTCCGCTTTTCCCGCAAATCCCGCTTAGATATGCCACTCACTCGCTGGCTGCGTCTTCCAAGAATATCAAGGGCTGACAATAATCTGGATACCTAGAAAAGCCAAAGAAAGAAGGAAGGAAACGAAAGGAAAGAAACCAAGTCCTACTATCATCATGTGGAGCAGTTTGTCTTTGCGAGGCAAAACCTTCGCAGCACAGAAGCCAGCCTTTTTCAAGTACTAAGTGACCTGGAGGTGTGGGTTGGGTATGCGTGGTCGATATGGCGTTATATCGAAGTGGACGACCTCGCGGGTACGCGGGGAAGAAGTCTTATGCAAGAGCGCGACGTCTGGCAGGTATCGCAGTGGATCGTCTCTCCATAGGAAGTTCGGATCATTCATGACCATCAAATTCAAATGCGGGGGGCTCTAGGAGGCTCATTGATGAGGGGTCTCTTTCTTCTTTGTACCCTTCCCCGGATCCCTCGCAGAAGGGGAGCGCATGAGAGATATTTTCAATCACAGGAGAGGTAGAACGCTCTCTTCCCGACTTTTCTCTAAGTTTGAGCTTGATGAAAGCGAAAAAATGTACTCCCATTTCATTAAGAGATCATACCAAGGCACGAGCTCCTCGTCCTCCGCACAACATGAAGCTATTGATAAAGCAAGTTGAAACTGCATGGAAGGAAACAATGCTTAGTAATTGGGTATTTGATTGGCTCTGTGGACTCTCGTGGGAGCAGGTCGCCATTGAAAACCAACCCCGGCGATACATTGACATTAAGGGGAACGACATGCGCCATCAAACACCAATTTTATCAAGGTTCATTCGAGGTGGTTTCACAGCCTTTAGTCTATCCCCCGGTCGGCAGTTATAGTGGGGAAGGGAAAAGGAAATAAGAGATGGCAGGCTAGAAGAACTCAGACGTAAAAAAGCTCGAGGAGGAGAGGAGGAAAAGAAAGGCTCAGGAAGAAAGACTGCGAGCATTCCGGATATACATGGGCTCCGTATAAGTTAATATATCATTTTAGTTTTATTCGCTAGTTGTTGCTCCTTCTATTATGAAAAGGTAGTTCCTAGTTTTCTTCGATGTTAATTAGACAGCATATCAGAGAATTGGTTTTGATTGCGTTTCGATTTCCCGTATTGGTCAGAGAAGAGCAAGTTCCCATTAACGCTGTGCTTAAAAGGGAATTTGAAACCAACTTAACCCGCGGGTCTCTGCGTAATGTCTCTTGTAAAAATACGTATTTAAAGTAGACTCTGTCAGAAGAGGATTGGAGTGTGACAAAACGAGAATCTTAAAAAAAATGTGGCTGGCCAGAATCGAACAGGCGTCTCCTCAGTTCTCTGAGTATGTGTAACCACCTTCGGAGGTTAGTGGATATAGCAAAGCGTGGATCAAATGGTAACTTACAATGAGGTATACTGACCACTATACTACAGCCACGACTCTTAACCACTAGGACAAGGCTAGGTTGCCTTCGGGGCCAATTAAAATCTAGATAGGCGTAGAGAAGGGTTATTGTGAGGGAAAAAAAGAAGTGAAAAAAATATGTGGCTAGCCAGAATCGAACAGGCGTCTCCTCAGATTTCTGAGTGTGTGTAACCACAATGAGGTATACTAACCACTATACTATAGCCACTGAAATCCCTTAACCGCTAAGCCAAGGTGCTTCGTTGAGGTTTTCGAAGGTTTTATGGATAGATATAGCTACATCACGGGATACAGGGGGTCTATTTTCGCCACTCAGGCACAGGGCAGCGTTCATATTTCCAATCAATACGTATTATCAAGAATCAGATGAATAATTAATTTTTTTAATCTGATATTATAAGAACATTAATCTCATGATAGCGTCACCATAGTAACGATAAAAGAGTCAACATTTGAACACTGAACGTATGTGTATCAATTATACTAGGATATATATATTAGTGTAAGAGTACTGCTTATCGAGTTAGATGCGAGGACAAATCAATTGATGACATAGGTTGCAAAGGTAGATGCAGGTTCACTATATAGGGATTATCGCAGCATGCGAGGTCCCAAGTGCTTACCCTGCATGGCCTCGCGAGAAGGAAGAACCATATAAATAAATACATGTATACGGCGGAAGCAAGTTCCCTACAATGCATACATAGACATTCCAGTTCCATTGTATAGATCCACCTCAGATGTGCTTAACACAAGGTGGGTTTGATCTGACGAATATATTCATGCTAGTCAATGAACAATGAATACATCGAGAACATCGGCAGAAATTTCACTGATCACAAAGTTAATTCGTTCTCTGTACAGAAAAGTGCAAGGTCTAGACACGCCAACAAGCCGGGTAGTAGACCTATGGCAAGCTAACTCATCCTTCAGCACCTGCTTTTACGTCACGGGGTATTCAAGTCAAGCTGACGACATAGGACAAGGTGCATTTCATACATGTTTATGAGTATAGACAATACAAATGCATTATCGATTACCGTGATCGGTTCAACGGTTGGCGGCGCCAAGAAGCGGGGCAGTGGTGGCCAATCGTGGAGCCCATGTACAAGGCGGTTCTTCCCGAGCTAGCCAAATTCTGCCAGTTTGTCTGCTCCGGAAAAAGGCAGCATTGCTTCCGCGCACGATGCCGAGAAGATTTTTTTTATAGGGATTGCGTTTAATTGTTGTCAACTGCACAAGTTCATTTTTAAGAACAATCCCTCCAAGGCTATGGGCAAGAAATGCAACGGATTTTGCCGATGGTGAGTCCCCAACCGTAGGTTTGAAGTTGGTTGACGAGCTCGTGGGCAAGATCTGTAATTCTCTGGAATGACTGGTTAGCGTGGAGCTTTGTATCAAAACAATAAATTACAGCTCTAGTTTCGGGTAAGTTTTTTGGTAGGCCATCGCGAATCCACATCAGGGTTTTGTCGTTCCCCTTTGGCTGCCATGACCCAAATGGGTGTCAATGCAACTATTCGTGGTCAGCAACGCACAACCCTCTGGTTCAAAATCAGGGTACTAGCTAATCATAGAGGTGATTGGTTGGCTGCAAATCGCTCAATGGTGTCATACCCAAGAATTGGGTATCTAAGATAAGATCGGAATCAGTATGGAGGATGAGCCATTGGTCTTCGCTCAAATTTTCCTGAACAATAGTAGGTAGAGTTTTAAATATGACAGTAGCTACCTTCTATTTCTTGCTCTCTTAGATATTTAAGGCTGTAGCCAAAGAGTACACGCGGACGTGTTGAATTGGGATTTCATCGCGCCTCTCGCACAGCAGGCTACCTACGTCATCCCAGGTCGTCACTGTTGAGAGCAATCCGCGCAAGCGAAAAGCGATTTTCGCCGTTTTATCCAACATCGTAGCATGTGATTATGAATACCTATAGGGGTTCCAAAAGAGGCTGTCCGGCATGTATACTGAATATAATATTAATTATCTTCAATCTTAAAGAGTGTAGCTGATCTCAGCCTGGCCTAGCCAGTAGTAACGAAGGCGGTGAGGCTCTAAGTCACGTGTTGATGCTCCCCGGCTGCCTCCCGCAGTGCAAAACTAGAGGTGAACCTGGACATTTGTGGCCAATCCCCGGTTGTCATACGACTTTAAATAGGATTAGCGCGCGTGAAAGTCTTCACCTTCAGTGGGACAGATTTTGACTTAGCTTATTAGGCACTAGCCTTTCACGTGATATCAAATCACATGATCCGGCGAGATGCAACAGCGCGGTCATGATTGGCCTATTCTGCGGACTAGAGGATTTGACGCGTCTGCGGAAGGTTCAAAATTGGCTAAACTACGTAGCCGTATCCACACTGACAACCGACTGCCGAGCGTTCTGTCTCCACTTCGCCCCAGCCTTCAGCTCAGTCATGAGGACACACAGCTTGGTTATCGTTATTAACAGCGTATCTAGCTTTTCTGCATCAACTGATTGATTCTTGATTCTCGACATGGCTCGCGAATTCGACCTGGTCTTGCTGGGCCCAACGGGCTACACGGGCAAGCACACCGCTGAATACCTATACACGTCGTTTCCAACCACTCTCAAATGGGCCCTGGCTGGCCGATCCGCCTCCAAGATCGAGCTCGTGCTGCGCGAAATACAAGCCGAAAACGTCGGCACTGCTAATCCTGGTAGGCTTGTACCGCGTCATATATACATATATTTAAAAAACGCGCTAACCGCCTAGAAATAATCCCTGTTCAACTGAACAAATCAGAGCTCGATGCTCTGGCGAAAAGGACGCGCCTGATTATCAACAGCATTGGGCCGTATCATTTGTTCTCGACACCAATCGTGGAAGCATGTGCTGAGAATGGCACGCATTATGTCGATGTGTCAGTGTTTTACCCTATGTATCAAGGCTTGGCTTGCTCTCTGACGTTAAAGCTATAGAACTGGAGAAACCCCGTGGCTTAAAAAGGTTGTTCCCAAGTACCACGACACGGCCAAAAAGAATGGGGCAATTGTGAGTTCTTTGTTTAGCTTCCCGTGAAAGACGATTTATGCTCATAATGTAGATGGTTACTTCCTGCGGTATCGAGAGCTTTCCACCTGATATCGTTGCCTGGCTGGCCATTGACTATGCGCGGACGAAGCTGTCAGCCGAGCCCACCGATTCAGTAGGCTGCATTTACGATTTCAAGTAAGATCTCGACCTGTCCTCTAATCTACCCAAGAAAAACAAAAGAGAAATTAACAGCATACAGATCCGCTGGTCCAAGTGGTGGCACCGCATACTCCATCCTCAGCACAATCGAAAGCCTGAGCTTCTCCGATCTTCTCAAGTTCAGCGACAGCTATTGCCTCCTAGCCTCCCCTCACCCACCGACTCACACAGCGCCAAGCAAATCGCTCCTCGAACTCATTACAGGGGCTCGCCACTACCCTGGCCTCGGCGCGCTGACCACATGCCCGACCACTGTGGCTGACGAGTCGATTGTGAACCGCAGCAGCACGCTCATGCCGGCTCATTACGGTCCCAAATTCTCGTTCCGCCAGTATCTGCGCGTTCGCAGTCTCTTTACGGCCGCACTGTTTCACTATGCCTTTACTATTGGCATTAGTCTCCTCGTTTTTGCACCTTTTCGCTGGATAGCGCGCCGCGTCTGGCCTGCCCCTGGAACTGGGCCAACAAAGGAAGAGACCAAAAACGATGTTGCAGAATGGCGTGTTGTCGTGCCGACCAATCAGCAGGGTTCCACCGGAAACCCGAAAAAAGTGATGGGCAGTATCTTTTACCTGGGAGGGCACTATGAATTGACCGGAGTCGCAGTGAGCTGTGCTGCCAAAGTGATTCTGGAACATGAGGACAAGGTCAAGAGCGTCTCGACTGGTCTCGTAACGCCGGCGACTTTGGGACAGTTGTATGTTGACGAATTGGGAAAGAATGGGTTCAAGTTCCAGGTCAAGGTTTTGGATGAGTAATGGATGGGATTTTTTACGATATGTATGTGCATATATGACTGTGAGGCTTTTTTTGTTTGGGATATGGATGATACGTGTGGTTTATTGAAAATTTATTAAGTACATGAGTAATTCTATGTCTTTCAACGTTGTGCTTGTCAATCCCAACAATTTCAAGCAAGCGTCAATCTTGATGGGATATCCCAAGCCTGGTCCCTGAATCTATTAGCTTTCACATACTGACAAGAGTATGCTCAAATTCCAAGTTCAGACCAAGGACGTACAATACGGCTCTGTTATTGCATGTACAATTGCAGTTTATACCTCTAACTATCCGCTTCAACGTTCCAGATATAATACCCAGTAATACATTAAAATACATTCAAAAATCACCTCCCATCTTCAGTTACCATGGCAAAAATCTTGTCAGACTTGTCAAGATTGATAAACCCATTTGACATCTTCAAATCCATTTCTCGTCTTAATTTCAACATCAACATCCTTATCTGGCTCCATGACGACAAAAGCAACATTAGTATTTGTAATAGTTGGAAGCTTCTATTCGCCCTCTATAGATATTATGTTCAGTTTCGCAATAAATACAGCCATAATAATAAAGGCTTTGTTGATCGAAAAGTAGTGGCTAGGGTAGAGCGTCTTGCCGCCACCAAATGCGTAGAAATATATATTATATAAATAGTTTTTAGCTTTTTTTAGAGAGGAACCTGCGTAAATTGAAGTCAGTGATGCTGGAGTCTTAGAGATTAATATATTAGTAAATAATGTGGCTTAATATCTATAATATAGTGTCTTTCTTTAGTAATTATCGATCTAGATAGGCATCTTTTATTATTAGACTTTCTTTTGCCATACCATAGCGTAAAAATAAAGGGTTACTCATTTCTCTTTTCATCCAGTCATCCATGTCGGAAGGTTGTGTGCCAGGGTGAAACCATCTGTCGATCCAGCGTGACGTTGGAGTCTTACTGGCTGAGGAAGACATCGTGCTTTTGATCACCCATGTAGGTTCTTGTGCTGCATTTAATTCGTGTGTCA